AGTAAGCAAGAGTTCATTGAGGACCCTCGCAATAGGCTCGGGGATCACAGCAATGGGATTGGGCAGTGGGAGAAAGAGACTGGGCTCCACTCTGCAGACAGCTCAGGCAGGGGAGCATTTACAGCCCAAGAGCACGGGTCCGTGGATGGAAAATTGCTAAGAGGAAACATTAGGGGTAAGGGGGATTCTGGCTAAACCCACCTAATAATCGTATTAATAAACCTAATAGGATTCTTGCTGAAGACAGGCCAGGTATTGCTGGGGCATGATGGAAAATGAGGAACTCCATCAGACGTAGTTGAGGCGGTCAGAGGGGGCTTTTGCTAAACTGACACAGCATGGTTCTCTGCTAAAACTGGACTTTACAAGAAAGTGCACAGAGGGGCCTAGGAGAAGGTTCAAGGACCTGGCTAAAGTTTGGTCAAGCAAAGAATCTATGTCGGTGGACATGAATTTGGAAGGGATGTAACTTAACCCACTATAGGGAGCCACGGGAGGGCTTTGGGGACAGGCAGGACATGAGCTGATTTGGGTTTCAGAGGGATCCCTCTGGCTGCTGCAGAAGAAGCCTGGAAGCAGAGAGGCAGACGTTCAGACAGGGCTGCAATGGCCCAGACAAGGGAGGCTGCAGCCTGGGCGGGGCTCTCGCCGTGGAGGTGGGAGAAGCAGTTGGGTTCTAGCTCCATCTTGAAGGCAGAACCGAGAGGGCTTCCTAATAGGCAGGACTCCTTTGCCTGCTAGCCAGGCTCCCCCAGACCCACTTCTGTTCTTTGGTTTCAGATGATCCCTGCCTGCAGCCTGGCCCTCCTTCATTCATGTTGCAATGCCCGTAGCCCTGACCCATCCTCAGCCTGCTTGGTCCACAACAGCCCATGGCCCACATGGCCCCATCCCCTCACCTTCTCTGCGGTGTGTGTGGTCAGGGGACAGCTTCTACTTCTACTGGTCAGGCCAAGGCAAAAAAAAAAAAAAAAGCAGATGTGAATCTTGAGAGTAGATGGAAGTGCTGGTCCCTGAGCCCAGGCCACTGTTGCCTTTCTGCAATGGTGCAGGGACCAGGCAGCCACAGGTGCATGTGGTGGCCACCTGATGGGGACAGTGGTCCCTCTGCATCTTCTAAGTCCCCAAGGTAGTTTCATTCCTGATACCTCATGTCCCCTAAAGAGTCATGGGTCACAAGGCAGAAAATATTGCCTGAAAACGCCTTCCTCTGGGCCCCTTCCAGTGACTTGAACTGTGGAAGATGTGTTCATTAGGGGCCACTCAGGAGCTCTGAGGAAGCACAGCTCCTGCTCCACTGCAGAGGGTTTGATCAGGAGCTGCACCTGGCAAGGAACAGAACATCCTCTTGAGAAAAAGTCTGGATTTATTTTAAGGAAAAGCAGCTTGAAAGCAATCACTGAGACCGCATGTGTTCCAGAGGTGAGCATAGACTGATTCGGGGGAAACACAACAGGTGGGACCCCCTGAGTAAGGCAGCCTCCTAAATATGCAATCCCAGGGTTCAGGCGAGGTCCAGGGAGAGCTCGTTTCATCCCTTCTCTTTTGCATGTCCCTCCAGGGTTGACCGAGCCAGATCCACAATGCTGAGTGCTGGCCAGCATGCCGTCAGCGCTGAGGCTGAATTCATTTTATCTGAGCCCAGTGTCAAAGCAAGGTGGGAGGGGCAGCCTTTGAGAGCTGCACTCCCTCTGCCGGTCCACCTAGGGAAATTCAGGAAGGGCCCTCCCCACCTCAGCCCCAAATGAAAACTCTCGTGATTTTCAAGACTCTCCATTAGAACTGAACCTCCTACTTCTAGCCCAGATATGAGGGCTGAGTGAATGTCTGGAAAATGGACATCTGAACCTCATCACTCACAGGCTAAGCAGGTAGCAGCTCCAGTGATTCAAGAAGTAGCCCCAAGCCAGGCGAGGTGGCTCACACCTGTAATTGCAGCACTTTGGGAGGCCAAGGCAGGTGGATCACCTGAGGTCAGGAGTTCAAGACCAGCCTGGCCAACATGATGAAACCCCATCTCTACTAAAAATACAAAAATTAGCTAGGCATGGTGACTGGCACCTGTAATCCCAGCTACTCAGGAGGCTGGGGCAGGAAAATCACTTGAACCCAGAAGTGGGAGGTTGCAGTGAGCCAAGATCACATCACTGCACTCCAGCCTGGGCGACAGAGTAAGACTTCATCCAAAAAAAACAAAGAAGAAGTATCCCTGGGAGACTGTCCTGCAGCAGGACTCTGCTATCTTCCACTCTAATGGGAGTGGGGCTGCACTTGCTGCCAGGTGGCCCAGCCAAAAATTAGATGCCCTGGTCAAACCCACTGGGTGAGGGGCATTTTGAGCCTCTTCTCTCTGGTACAGCATCCATGGGCCAGGTTGCTCTGCAGCTTCTTGGTGATGTACGTGTGGGTACAGACCCTGTCACCACAAGAACCCAGAGTAGACATGTTTGTGGTTTCTCATCTCAGCAGACAATGAATTTCACACCCTGTCTTCATGTCCAGGTCTCCAGGGGAGGCAAAGGATGCCCAGAATCCCCTCATTGCTGTGGACAGTTAGGACCTCACCTAAAAGAATGATACTGCCTTTTCCCACATGCTACCTGGGAAGAAAGGGCACAGTCATGGTTTTTTGTTAGTATTTTTTCAGATGTCTATGACTATACACGTATTTGTACCATTTGTCTTAAATTCTTTTTGGAACAAGACTGGGTTTAAATAAATAGCAAAATAACAATGATATATTCATAGAGTTAGAATCATAGGCTGCTTATAGTTTAATCCTCCTTTCACTTAATATTGTGACGTGTTTCCCCATATTATTATAAATTCCCAAGTCTCATGTTTAATAACCATTATGTTTCTTCAAGGACAATAATTTAGCAACTTTTTTTCTGTAGTTGGTCACTTATTTCCAGGGTTCCTGGGTTGTAAATGTTTCAGCGAACATATGGACCAAATTGTTAATCGTCAAAGCACTCACATTTCCTGTGTGCACAGCCTTGTGCAACAGGGGTTGCAGAATAAGAAGCTGGCATCATCGCTGTCCTTGAGGAATCTGCTATTTATGGGGCAGAGAGAGAAGGTGATACATATTAAACAATGATGGGGCAGTGCAACGGCACATGTAAATAAGGGGAAAGGTGGTGGTACTAGGAAAGACTTTAAATATATAATAAAAATATTTTAAATGGCAATGTCAACCATAAGTCAAAGTGTGTGTGTGTGTTCCAGAGAAAAACTGAGAGACGTTGACTTGTAAACATTAGTAACAATAGAGCCACCAAAAACACCTTCCTGACCACACCTTGCGGTGTTGTGGAGGAACTGGATCCAGGATGCCCTGTTTGTATTAAGCTTCTGGCAGCCAGGAAGGCCTGGAAGAGACACAGGAAGATCAGGTGTGGTCCATGGAGAGAGAACAGCCAAAGCAACCAAGGCTGTCTCTGCACCTGTGTCTGATCCCCTAAGAAGCTATCTGGCCCAGTAAAGATGGTGAAGGTGTTTATCAGCAGATACAGGCCCGCTCCCCTCGCAGGGCCCCCACGATGCAGGAGCTGGTCTGTACCTGCAAGCAATGTTCCTGCTCCCCACAAGCCAGTGCTCCTGCTCCCAGGTGCCGACTGGGTTAATGCACACGGTGCAGGGCAGGTTGTTTTCCTGGCTGTTAAGATCCACAGCTGTAGATGGAACACAACAGACTGTGAAATGCCAATAAATCTGGAGTTGCCTCTCAATTTCACCAATAATAATTAGCAAATTAAAATGTAAATGTCACCACAAACCCATAAAAATTCTTAAGTGCCGCCTGGAAAACTCTCTCAGGAGCAGAAATGGGTTTTGCCCATGCAAGACCCAGGGCAGACGTGCCGTCAGGTGTTCGTCAGGACAGCCATCGCTCCCAGAGAGCCCAGCTCAGGGCTGATTAATCACAGGGTCGCTGCCTTTACATGTCAGCAAGCTAACACAACTGTGTAATCAAGCCTGCTTTATGGGGCCTGAAATACATGGGCAGGGGACAGACGCCATCGCTCTAACGAGGCAGAGGGGAGAGGAAAGCACGCCAGCCACACCCCGACTTCTCTGTGTCCGGCACTCTGGCTGCTGTGCAACCATTTGGCCAAACGAGGGGAGGATTGGGAAGTTACGAGCAAATTGTGTAGCATCTGGCTTGCATTCCAGAGAGCTGGAACCAGGGAATGTCTGCCTGGCACAGCAAAGCCTAACTGTGGAAATCCACTCAACAGGCAACCAGTGCTCCACTCCTGAAGGCCAGTGATTTTCCCTTATGGTGGCCATGAGTCCCCCCATAAGAAAACCCAACCTGTGAAAACCCAAACTTCCTGAATCAATAAACGATGGAGAAATGATCTGTGTTGCACAAAATGATTATTTGTGTCCATACAGAATTATACATTTGGCACTCCTTCTAAGCAAGATGAATGGACAAGGACCAGATTCATCCTCCAGCCTGAAGCAGACAAATATCTATATTCTTCAGAGTTTTCCAGAGACACCGAACCAATATGATGCATCCATAAATATATGCTTATATAGAAAGAGATTTGTTATAAGGGATCGGCTCATGGCATTATGGAGGCCAAGTCCTAAGATGAGCAGAATGAGTCAACAAGCACCCAGGGAGCCAATGCATTGGTTCGAATTTTTTTTAAGGATCAAATGGTCAAGATGTGTTTGGACATCAGACAGTGAAGATTAGTGACCCCCTGAGAGATGGGATACAAAAGAAGCAAGCCCCAAGATTGCCCCTGCTGACCACCTCACGTTGCCTGCTGTGGCACAGACAGAGCACAAAGGGTGGCCTCAGCTGAGTCTTGGGAGATCAAGGTAGCAAGAGTTTGCAGGACAGGGGACCACAGAATAGAGCTGCCTAGAGACAGAGAGAGTTCTGGAGATTCGCAGATGGCCCCTTTGAGTATCCAGCTGAGCAGTGACTGGCACAGGCATGGGAGAAAATGACTCAAGTCTATAGAAAGACTCACCCAAGGATTAGCAAGAACGGAGCCCACTGGTGAAGATGCTGCCTGTTAACACCAGCTAGACTGGAAAAACCCATCATTTACGGGACTTTGAGATGACAATCCAGAAGAGTCTTGCTTCAATCATGGGGAATAATTAGTCCTGGGCTGACTGCAGTCAACAACTTCAGCTTCCACCTTAAGAAACAAAAAAAACGAGAGAAATTTAAATGCAAAGTAAAAAGAGAGGGAATCATGAGGATCAGAGCATGATAAATAAAACAGGGGGAAAGTGGGAAAAATCAGTGAAATCCAAAGTTGGTCTTTGAGAAAATCAATTAACTTGATCAACCCAATCTGAATAGCCAGACTGATCAGAACAGAAAACAGCAAATACACAAGTTACCAAAATCAGGAATGACAGATTCTACAGATGAATAAGTTTAGCAAGGCTGCATGACACAAGGTGAACAGACAAAATTTAACTGTATAAACAAAAAACATGAACAGTACCAACACAATTGGAACAACAAACAATTGGAAATTGAAATTTTAAAAGTAAAACCATATATAATAGCTTCAAAAATGAAATATTTAAAGATAAATACTATAAAATGAATATTTAGGGATAAATCTAATAAAAGATGTGAAATATCTGTACACTGCAAACTACAAAACATTGCTAAGAGAAATTAAAGAAGACTTCCATCAATGGAACTATATACCATGTTCATGGATGACAAGATGCATTATAGTTAAGATGATAGGCCAGGCAAGGTGGCTCAGGCCTCACCTGTAATCCCAGCACTTTGGGAGGCCAAGGCAGGTGAATGACTTTAAGCCAGGAGTTCAAGACCAGCCTGGCCAACCTGGTGAAACCCAGTCTCCACTAAAAAAATAAATTAGCCAGGCATGGTGGCACATGCCCATAATCCCAACTACTCAGGAGGCTGAGGCACAAGATTCCCTTGAACCCAGGAGGTGGAGGTTCCCGTGAGCAAAGATTGGGCCACTGCACTCTAGCTAGGCAACAGAGTGAGGATCTGTCTCAAAAAAAAAAAAAAGATGACAGCTTTTCCCAGGGGTTCTACAGATTCAAGGTAATCCCATTCAAAATGACAGTAAGCTTTTTAATGTAGAAATTGACAAACTGATTCTAAAATTCATATGGAAATGCATGCTAAGGACCAAAATGGCCAAAACCATGTTGAAAAAGAACTGTTTGATTTCAAGACTTATTATAAAGCTACGGAAATCTTGACAGTATAGCATTTCTATCAGCATCAATAAATGATCAATGGAATAAAAGAGAGTTCAGAAATCGATCCACACATATATGGATAACTATTGTGGTTTTTTACAAAGGTGCAAAGACAATTCAGTAGATAATGAATAATATTTTCAACAAATGATACTGAAACAATTGCTTACTCATATGCAAGACAAAATAAACTTCGATTCATACCTTGCACTGCCTATAAAAATTAACTCAAAATAAGTCTTAGTTCCCAAAAGTATCAAACTATAAAATTCCTGACAAGAAGGCTTTGTGACCTCGAGGTGGGCAAATATTTTTGGATTTGACACCAAAATCACAATTCATAAAGAAACAAATTGATAAGTTGGACTTCACCAAAATTTAAAACTTCTGTTCTTTGAACGATACTGTTGGCCAGGCGTGGTGGCTCAAGCTTGTAATCCCAGCACTTTGGGAGGCCAAGGTAGGTAGATCACGAGGTCAAGAGATCAAGACCATGCTGGTCAACATGGTGAAACCCTGTCTCTACTAAAAATACAAAAAAATTAGCAGGGCATGGTGGCACTTGCCTGTAATCCCAGCTACTCAGGAGGCTGAGGCAGGAGAATTGCCTGAACCCAGGAGGCAGAGGTTGCGGTGAGCTGAGATCGCGCCATTGCACTCCAGCCTGGGTAACAAGAGCGAAACTCCGTCTCAAAAAAAAAAAAAAAAAAAAAAAAAGATACTGTTAATAAAATGAAGAGACAAGCCACAGGCTAAGAAAAGTATAGTTACAATATGTCAAAGACCTTGCTAGCTATATCAGGTATTAGAGGAAGACCTCTACAGAATATATAAAAATACACTTTTAAAAATAGATGACCCAACTTTTTAAAACTGGAACAATATTTTGAAGTGATACTTCACTAAAAAAGATGTTCAAATGGCAAATAAGCACATGAAAAGATCCTGAGCATCAGGAGTCACTAGAGAAATGCAAATTAAAATCACAAGGAGAACCTACTACATACACATTGATTAGAATGTTTAAAATTGAAAAGGTTGATCATAGCAAGCATTCATACATAAGCAGAGGAACTAGGACTCACACACTGCTGGTAGAAATATAAAATGGCACCTCTACTTTGGAAAGGGTTTAGAGTGTCTTAAAAATTAAGTATACACCTACCATATGATTTAGCCTTTCCACACCCACATACCTACATTACCCAAGAGGAAATAAGTCTTAGGTGCATACAAAGACTTGTGTACCAATATTCCTAACAGCTTTATTTATAATGGTAAAAAATTGGAAACAGGCCAGGCACAGTGGCTCACCCCTGTAATCCCAGCACTTTGGGAGGCCGAGGCAGGTGGATCACCTGAGGTCAGGAATTTGAGACCAGCCTGGCCAACATGGTAAATCCTCATCTCTACTAAAAATACAAAAATTAGCTGGGCATGGTGGTGGATGCCTGTAATCCCAGCTACTTGGGAGGCTGAGGCAGGGGGATTGCTTGAACCTGGGAGCCAGAGGTCGCAGTGAGCCGAGATCATGCCACTGCACTCCAGCCTGGGTGACAGAGTAAGTCTTTGTCTCAAAAAAAAAAAATGGGAACAATCAGAATGCCCATCATCAAGTGAAGAGTTAAATAAATCCTGGTGTATCTGGAATACTACTCAGCAATAAACAAAACTGAACTACTGTTACATGCTACAACATGAATGAATGTCAGATTAAGCTTAATGAAAGAAGCAAGACCGGGCCAGGCGCAGTGGCTCAAGCCTGTAATCCCAGCACTTTGGGAGGCCGAGGCAGGTGGATCACAAGGTCAAGAGATCAAGACCATCCCGGTCAACATGGTGAAACCCCATCTCTACTATAAATACAAAAAATTAGCTGGGCATGGTGGCGTGTGCCTGTAATCCCAGTTACTCAGGAGGCTGAGGCAGGAGAATTGCTTGAACCCAGGAGGCGGAGGTTGCGGTGAGCCGAGATCATGCCATTGCACTCCAGCCTGGGCAACATCAGCAAAACTCTGTCTCAAAAAAAAAAAAGAAGAAGAAGAAGAAGAAAAGAAGAAGAAGGAAAGAAGAAGAAGAAGAAGAATTAGAAGAAGAAGAAGAAGAAATAATAAGACCTACCTCCAAAAAAATAAAAAGAGTACATCCTGTATTATTCTAGTTCTACAAAATTCTACAAAATACTAACTAATGTATAGTGACAGAAAGCAGATCGGGGTAATGGCTAGGAACAGTGAGGGAAGGGAACATGGGAGGGGCTTCAAAAGACCAGGAGGAAGTTCTCAGGGATAACAAATGTGCTCATTACTGTTATCATTGTGGTCATGTATTAGTTACAAGGGCTGTGGTAACAAAGTACCTCAGACCGAATGGCTTCAACACACAGATTTCTTTTCTCAGTCTTGGAGGCTAGAAGCTCATCAGTGTCAGCTGGGTTGTTTCCTTCTGAGACTCTCTTCCAGGTGTATAGGTGGTCATCTTCTCCACATGTCTCCTCATCTTCCCTCTGTGTGAATCTGCCTTAATCTCAACTTCTATAAGGACATCGGTCAGATGGGATAAGAGGTCTACCCAATACCTCATTTTAACTCGCCTGTCCCTTTAAAGACCCCATCTCAAAATACAGTCACATTCTCAGATACCAAGACAAATGTCTCAACAAATGTCCAGATGGGAGGACAGAGCTCAGCCGTTATATACCTTAAACATGCATAGTTTATTCTGTGATAATTATACCTCAATGAAGCTTTTTTAAATTAAATATATATGTATGTATTATTTCCAGATTGTTTTAGTGTGCTTGTTTAATAAGGAACTCTTTCATTGCATGCGATTTGGTTCATCAAAGCATGGTTCGAACATAGTTGTTAAGGAATGAAATTGCATCATATAAAAGCCTGTCTGTATCTTTTCCCCATTTCTTTGTAACTTTTCGGGCTTTGCTATACTATCTTAAACCCCTGGAGACTGAACTGCATCCTGTTGTGTGTGGAAGACAGGAAGGATGATCAGAGCTCTCCATGGTTCTGAAAAATAAGAGCTGGTGGAGGAAGGCAGCTGTTTTTCCACACTTAACTTGGGTTAGCAGGGCCATCTCTTGCTAACCCCCCAGCTTCGCTTCTCAGATGCTCTGGTAGCTAAATCCATGAGAGTCTTCACCAGCCCAAATCAGGGATGTATAGCTCCCCTGAGATGATTTGTGATTCCTAGAAAGGAGAGCTAAGCTCATCATCAACCTTAATTGTAGTCCAAAAATTCCCAGCTTCAATCTGTCTACAAATGTCAGATGTGCCTTATGTCATAATCATTTTCAAGAAGACTGGAAAAGGTGTTTTGCAGAGTTTGTCTGTTCTATCAGTCCTTCCCAGAAGATGTCTCTGCTCCCTGATTTGCCTAAGGAAACACAGGGCATTTAAGGATCTCCTTTCAGGTGGTGCTACCGCTCAGAAAAGTGATTGGACCTGGGGGAGAAGGGCTCCATCAAACTCAGATGGGTAAGTTAACAAAGACAGCCCTTTCTCCAGCAGCCTCTACCCTGTGGCTCCATCTCATTATCCTGTTCATTTCCTGCATGGCATGTAGCACAATATGCCAGTGTCATTTACTGGAACCTAAGCCCTATAAAAGCAGGGACCTCGTTTTTATCATCTGTTTGTTTATCCCAAATACCTAGCAAAACCTGACATATGGTGGACACTCCATAAATGTTTGTTAAATGAGTAAATTGGGCTGTAAACTCTTATGGGAAGCCCTGAACCACTGGAATGCTGTGGCCTGGATAGAGTCCACTTGTTGTTTCCCCTTTACTTATAGCAGGAGGCTTAAAATTTGCTTTAGGAGACGCGTGGGATGTTCAGGAGTGGATACGTGGGCCCTCGAACCTACCCTAATCAGTATAATTCATTTCTCCCTGTTTCATAGATCGTGGTTTCATGAA